CCCTTCCCCTGCTCCTCCCCCCTCCTCCCTGCCCCTGCTCTGCATACCTGAACACGTAGTCGTGGGCATCAATGTTGGGACCCTGGCGGGAGCCGTTCAGGATGCCTCCGTTACCCACCACGGCGCACCGGATGCAGTCCCTGCGCGGCTCCCTGGAGCCTAAGAGCTGGGCGCTGTCTGAGCTGTTCAGAAGGCTCAGGGTGGAGGCGATGTCTGTGGGTCGGGACGGGGACCTCATGCAGAGGCTGCTGGCATCGGGACAACAGCCCCTCCCAGGAGGCACAGAGGGCAGGAGGGGTGCACTGGCAGTGGGGCGTGAGAAGGGAAAAGGGCCGGTGGGGACAGGTGTGGCTGTGCCCACGGTGCCTCTGGAGACCGTGTTCCAGAAGGAGTAACCTGGGCATGCGGGTGGGGGCAGAGCTAACGGGGAGCATCTGACAGCAGCACAGTCAGCAGGCTGCGTGGGGCCCCGTGCCCTGTCTCAGCCACCTTTGGGCACGGGCACCTTAGCCTTTATGCCAGGGAGGCCCCAGGATGGTAGGAGCTGCTAGGGGTGGCGGGGAGCCAAGCCCCTCTTGCTGATCCCCCGGGGCTTGTGGGGGCAGGAAAGTAAGCAGGAGTCGCATAGCTTGGGGGTCGAGCTCAGGCTGAGGGTTACCTTGGCGGGGGAACCCCTGCCAGCCGTAGGGGGCTCGGCGCTGGCTCAGGCTGTCCCAGAGCTCCTGGGAGAAGAGGCCCGCGGCCAGCAGCACTGGCTGGGAGAAGTTGAACAGAGCCCGGAAGTGGGGGTCCTGCTGAATGGCCTGAGCGAGCGAGTATCTGCAGGGCCTGCTCTGTGGGCGAGAAGATGAGAGGGCTGGGCTCTGGGGGCGGAGTGGGTGGGAGCCTTCCAGGAGCTTCTGGGAGGGAAGAGGTGGCCTCCCCCCTCCAGACTTGGGGATCAGAGAGCTTTCTGGGTTTCCCCTGCCCAGCCCCCTGGACGCCACATCTCTGTGGCCTGCTGGCTCTGCCTCCTGCTCCTGCTCCTGCTCCTGCACCTCACTCCCGGGGAAACTTCCGGGCGTGTTCCCACGAATGGGTGAGACCTCCCGCCTTGGAGGAGGCGCGCCAGCCGGGGCTCTGGATCCTCGGCCTGGATCAAGCCTGTGATTTATCCCGCGAGCTCTGGCTTCTTCACTGCCGGTCGGTGAGACAGGCTGCAGGAGACGCATGCGCGTCTTTCTTCCAGCCGCTGCCTACTCTGCGTTGAAAGGTGTCCTCCAGAAGTTCCTGTCTGCCCAGACCCTCGGAATGCGGCCTTATTTGGAAACGGGCCTGTGCAGACATAGGCTGTTACGATGAGGTCACACTGTGTTCAGGTGGGTCCCAAGTTCAGTGCCCTTCTAAGGAGGCCCTGTGATGACAGGCGGAGAATGAGTGATGCGGCTACAAGCCGAGGCGCACCTGGACCCCCAGGAGGTGCAGGAGGCCAGGACGGGTCCCCCAGACTGCCCTGCGGACGCCTTGACTTCAGACTTCGGGCCTCCAGGACTGTGCGAGCAAACATCTCTCGGTTTAAGCCACCGAGTTTGGTCATGAGCTCCAGGAGCCCTCGGAAGCCTCACGGAGCCTGGGCACAGGGACCTGGAAGGAGGGAATACCGAACAGGCGCGGCCCGTCCGCCTGCAGCCCCAGGGCAGAGTCCCACAGCCGAGGCCGGGGCTGCTCTCCCCACCGAGGGGCCTCGTTGTTACGGTGCTGGTTGGATCAAAGGCCCTGCAGGGAAGAGCTGCGTGTAGTCGTTCCTGCTGTAATGTGACATAGACGTTCCTAAAACCACCACCCTGTGCCAGACTGTGCAGTCAGGCCCCCGGGCTTTGGGGAAAGGGGGCTAGTGGCACAGCACTCACACACATGGCCCGGGACACACGCAGCCACAGAGGTGGGAGCGCAGTTCACACTCAGCGCCTCAGGACGGAGCGCTGCCAAGTATGGCCTTTGACCTCGGAAAGTCACTGTGGATGGGCGTCCACGGTGGCGGCTCAGGAGCTATTACGAAATGGCAGAAAGAGGGTTTAACACTCGATGGCAGAAAGAGAGTTTAACACGCGATGGAGCAGGTAGCGTGTGCGTGTTCGCGTTTGTGAATTCCTTCGATGTCCCTTCGGCGGGGTGGTTCTCCGCATTTAACCCGGGGTTCTCACTGACAATCGCTCAGAAGCAAACACATTTGTGCGATGTTCAGACTGTTTCCTAAGGTGTCAGTCTTGGAACTTTGAGCGGGGTGGTTCTCCGCATTTAACCCGGGGTTCTCACTGGCAATTGCTCAGAAGCAAACACAACATCTGTGCGATGCTCAGACTGTTTCCTAAGGTGTCAGTCTTGTTGGAACTTTGAAGCATGTTTTCATAGCGAGCGCTCTAGCAGGACATAGCGCGGCCGTGTCGCTGCTGCTCCGCCTCCCAGGGCCCGTGAACGAGGCTCCAGGAGAAAAGCTCGAGTCTGTATCAGGAAGGGCTGTGCTGCACTCGGGCATCTGGCTCGCTTTTCTCTCAGGGACCTGGTGGCAGTTTCCTTCTTCACCGTGGCCACCAGGAAGCTCAGAGCCAGCTATCTGGCCTGTCTCACGCCTGGTGGCACATTTCTCAGGCACTTATCGGCCACCTCATTTCCCAACCTTTAGTTTCCTTCGCACATTTATTTTACTCTTTTCATGTTTTTGCCTTGTTATATGTATGTATTTATTTATTTATTTTAAAGAGAGAGAAACATCGATCAGCTGCCTCCTGCACACTCCCTACTGGGGATGTGCCCGCAACCAAGGTACATGCCCTTGACCGGAATCGAACCTGGGACCCTTCAGTCCGCAGGCCGATGCTCTATCCACTGAGCCAAACCAGTTAGGGCATTGCATTGTTATATGTATTTAAAAGCTACCTCAAAGCCTCCTTTTAAACCGGATGGGGATGTATATCATTTAGCATCAAGCAGCTCCAGCGGGAAAGGACTTGAGGAATGTAAGGATGATCTGGCCCTGGCTTGTGTTGCTCAGTGGATAGAGCATTGGCCTGTGGACTGAAGGGTCCCGGGTTCGATTCTGGTCAAGGGCACATGCCCAGGTTGCGGGCTCGGTCCCCAGTAGGGGGCGTGCAGGAGGCAGCCAATCAGTGATTCTCTCTCATCATTGATGTTTCTATCTCTTTCTCTCCCTTCCTCTCTGAAATCAATAAAAATATATATTTTTTAAAAAAGACCTGGCCAAGCGCCCGGGAGACGCTCGAGGACAGCTGTCCTCCCGGCTCTGCTGCTCAGTGGTTCAGAGCCGGGTTCTGGGGTCAGACCAGAGGCTCAAACCCCGGTACCGCCTCTCCTCCCCGAGCGGCCTGAGCAAGGTGCCTGGCCGTCTGTGCCACATTCTGCCATGAGGCTTATGTCTGAGCACGCAGGTCACGTGCTGGGGATGGCACCTCGGCCCACGGCCACCATCGACTCTTAGCTGCAGAGCCGGGCACACACGGGCCATCTTCCCAGGCTGTGGTGTCTACTTTAAATGTGACTCTTATGGTAGGAAGACATTTGGGGGAGTGGGATCTCAAATTCACAGGCCTTTTAAAGATACAGCGCAGGACTTCCAAGAAATGTCCAGCCGGCCGTACCCCAGGGAACCATTGATCCATCCTCCTCTACTGGGGTGCAGAGAGCCCTAGTGGCCAGGTCTGAGGAGCCCTGACGGCTGTCTGCTTCATTCTGGGGCCAGGGGGTAGGGGTCCAAAGAGCTCCTGCCCAGCAGTCTGCTGACAGTGTCCTCCGTGGTGTGCTCTTCTCCCCCTCCTGCCCGCTAACTTGAGGGTGCTCGGAGGTACAGAGTAGCCGACCACTGTACCTTCCTTGTCCCAGAATCCGCTGCCTTGGGTCCGGTGAATGCTTGAGGTGCTGTGGTGTACCTGGGAGAGAAGGCACACGTCAAGGGGGTCTGGCTCCGTCAGGGTCAAAGGCATCCGTCCCTCTGACCCTATTTCTGGGCTCGGATTCTTGCCGTGCCTCTCTCTTTAGGCCCAAAGTGCTCCCACACAGTTACGTCTGACACGCTGTATAAGCCCTCGGCAAGCAGCAGCAATGTGGACTTTACAGGGACAGTGGTTCAACGACGAAAATATGGCGCTGCTTGGTTTCTCAGTGGTTAGAGGTCAGCCCTCTGACCGACGGGTTGAGGGTTCGATTCCCAGGCATGTACCTCTTGCAGGTTTGATCCCGGCTCTGGTCCAGGCATATGCAGGAGGTAACCAGTCCATGTGTCTCTCTCACATCAATGTTTCTCTCTCTCTCCCCCTCCCCCCCCCCTTCCACACTCTCTCTCTCTCAAGATCAATGGGAAAAAATATCCTCAGGTGAGGATTAAAAACAAACAAAAAGGATGAAAGAGGAATCTTGCCAGCCCCCTGGAACTGTGACTGTATAAAGCAGGGGTCCTCAAACTACGGCCCGCGGGCCACATGCAAATACAAATATTGTATTTGTTCCCGTTTTGTTTTTTTACTTCAAAATAAGATATGTGCAGTGTGCATAGGAATTTGTTCATAGTTTTTTTTTAAACTATAGTCCGGCCCTCCAACGGTCTGAGGGACAGTGAACTGGCCCCTGTTTAAAAAGTTTGAGGACCCCTGGTATAAAGGGTTGCCCTTGTGGGGGGGTCACCCTGGCTCCTGCCCTCAGGGTCGAGGTAAAGGGCAGGTCTGCAGCCGACTCCCAAAATCCGTAGTCCATGATCTCGGGACGTTACTAAACTTGGAACCTGAGTCCTCGTCTGGACAGCAGGGATAATCGTATTGACATGACGATAATCCTATCACGTGTCACCTAGTGGTGAGTTCAAACAGAGCACCTGTTATCTCATCCTGCCAGTCCTCTACCCACATGTTGCTGTGGTTACCAGCCTCTAGGCCGGGGGGAAGGGGCTGAAGTTATGGCCCAGCCCCACCTCCCAGGCGGCCCCAGGGCAAAGGGGAACTGGAAAGGAAGGCAGGAGAGGGGCCCTTGCCCATTGGAGGGGGTCGGGCCTCTCCAGACCCCTGCCCTCTGCACAGGAGCCTGGGGGGGTGGTTGTGGGGGGGCGGTCAGGGTGCGCAGTTTGCGGGGAACAAAGGCCCTTGTTTGCTTCTGGCACCCAGACAGCCAAGTCACAATGAAAGTCTGTGACCTGCCTCCCTGCAGGTTTCTGAGACCCTGGAGGGCAGGATGGAGAGGGCAGGGTGGAGAGGGCAGGGTGGGGAGGGCAGGGCGGGCACCTCCCCCAGACCGGGCCACCTGGCCACCCACCCACCCACACAATCCTGTAGTTCCTGTCTGTGGGCACAGCAGGGCCTCTGGGGAGGAACTAGTGTGTTTCTCTCGGCCTTGACCCCGCAGTGAGCTGAAAAGCACCGGCCAAGGCCCCATCCCTGAGACTCTGAGCTGATGGGCGGGCCCTTCCCGGGGACTCTAACAGGGGCCGGGCCGGAGGACAGCCTGACAGGACCAGGGCAGGATGCAGACAGGAGGGGAGGGGTGCAGGGGACGAGGTGGGGACTCGCCCCGATTCCCTTGTGCTGCCCTGCTCCCCCCAGTCTCAGGGAGGCCTGCTCATCTCTAGGGCACCCTCAGGACCCAGGTCTCCTCCCAGCCCTGCGCAGCTCTTAGGACTCCCAGGGCTTCCAGACACCTGCTGGGGAGGGGGGGGGGAGGAGTGAGGGTGCCTGCGGGAGGCAGCCCATCAGTGTGTGTGTGTCTCTTCCTCTCCCTCCCTCTCTCCCACTCGCTCTAAAAATCAATGGAAAAAATATCCTCAGGTGAGGATTAACCAAAAATAAACAAATACACCCATACTAGTATAGAAATAAAAAAGCTTTGTTGAGGTATAATGAATGTTCAGCAAACCTCATATTTAAAGTGTATTCAATACTTTCAAAGGATGTTTAACTGTATTTTATTTATTTTTTGTTAATCCTCACCAGAGGATATTTTTTCCATTGATTTTTAGAGAGAGTGGAAGGGAGGTAGGGCAGGGGAGAGGGGAGGGGAGGGGAGGGGAGAGGAGACGGAGATTAGTTGCCTCCCACACACGCCCTGACCAGGGCCACACTGGCAGGGCTGTCTGTATTTTAAAGCATCTTTACATAAAGTCCACAAGATCCCCTTCCTGAATAGCTCCCCCTCTCCAGGCCTCTTCCTGTGTAATTTCTGACCACAAGGAGCTCCCGTGACTTCAGGCATGACCTGCCGGCTGGAGCCCCTTTATTCTAAAGGGACTGAGCGTACATTGTTTTGCAACTTTGGGCGTCCTCTGACCGTAGTCCCTGGGAGCAGGTACTGATTGTGCGTTCATCCTGTTACACCTGCAGCAAGTAGCAAGGCTGCGCGAGGACGGCACAGGTGCGAGGGCGCTGGGAAGGGAGAGCCTGGGCCTGCAGGCCTCGCTGGGC